AAATTCTATACTGCCTTCAGTGAACCAGTTTAAGAGTTTCCTCCTTCCTTATTTTCATTTTTCATTTTTTAAAAAAATGACAACAGGTACTTCCGTTTCAAATGCCCACATGGAACTGGAGCCCATCAGAAAGCAAACGTGTCACTACCTCAGCTGGCCATGTGGACAATCCTGGAGTGTTTTGGATCTAAGAATTCAGAATAAGGGATGCTTAACCTATACTGTAGGTTGATGAGCCATCTACCACATTGAAGAAGCTACTTGTTTTCCAGTTCTACATGAGTATTTAAAATGAAATTAAATATTTCCTTTAAAAAGGAAAAAAAGGACTTACAAAGGAAGGAGAAAGCTTCCAAATTGTTCACTGAAGGCAGTAAGTTCAACTCAAAGAAAACTATTTTTTTTAAAGAAAACAGGCAGAAGTTAGTTGTCAAGATTAAAGACTATAAAGTGTAGAGATGTGTTGAAAAGCTGGACACTCTTGTTTGCTGTGGGGGGGGGGGAACCCATTACTTGTGTCCCCCACAACATCCTGATCTGTGTGCCTTTGGCTGGGTCTACACTGCCATATAATTCAGTTCAAAGCAGATAATCTGGATTCAGAAACTGGATTATATGGCAGTGTAGATGGGGCCTTTCCGGGCGGGTAGGGAAGAAACACTATAACAATATTAGTCCACTAATTCCTGCTCACACCCATTCTGAGTAATGAATATTCTTCTGCTACAATCTTGTGTGGACTTTAGACATACATATTTAGGGCCTCGTCACACTTGAGCATTTTCCCACTACAATCCACTTTAAATGTTGTGACTGCCTCCTACAGAATTCTGGAGTTTGTAGTTTAGGGAGGGGCCTTTAAACTCCTAATCCAGAGATGCCCTGGGCCTCCCTAAACTATACACCCCAGAATTCTGCAGGAGCCAGTCACAGCATTTAAAAGGGATTGAAGTGGGAAAATGCTCAAGTGTGATGAGACCCTATCTCGTTTCTCACTATGTTAAAACAGTGGATATGGCTCTTAATGAGACATGCCACATTATCACAGAATGTCTACACCCCACATCGCTGGAGAAATTATACTATTTAGCCGATACTGCACCACCGGATATCTGTCGGGAAGTAGCAGCCAGTCATGAAAGGACCAAGGCATTGACATCTCCGACCCATCCTCTGTTCTGATATCAGCCAGTATGCCAATGTCTTAAATCAAGAAATAGTTTCCTAAGATCTACAGAGATACTAGCAGTAACACTTCAGCAAGCATGAGTCCAAAAGTGACAGGATAAAACCCAGAACCTCAATCAGTGGCTGATACCAGATGAGAAACAAAGACTGGGCGACTTGAAAGGCATTGAACAGACTGTACTCTGGTACGATGGGATGCAGAGTCAATCTTAAGACGTAAGGCTACAAAGTGCAGTTCACAACATGCAAATGTGGATAACAGCAAAGCACAGACCACTTACTACAATGCCATATGCACAATGGAGGACTTTCTTACAGTGACTTGAAGTGGCCAGCTTCTGGTCAAAGGAAATTGAATATAATGCCACGTTTCAAAACTTTGTGGTTTTTTAAATACATTATAACTGTTTTCTCAATTTGTTTCTTTATTTACTTATTTACTTTGTTTTATATCCTGCTCTCTCTCCTTTGTTGAAGCACTCAGAGCAGTTAACATATGGCAGCTATTAGATAATAATAATACATTTTATTTTTAACCCACCCTGTCTCCCCAAAGGGACTTACCATACCATTCAACATACACCACATTGTAGTCAAAATACAAATCAATAAATGTATATAAAATTTATCCAGCTAATCTAAAAAACAATAATACAGGATAGAAAAAAATCAATTATTTAAATTCCTATGATTAAAATTAAAACTGCCACTTTCCTGTTGCCATATTCCATGCCCATTGCACTTAACCCAACTTATTTCTTATCTTCCCCAATGGCTTCCTTCCAAAAGAAGGTTTTTATTTGTTCTCTGAAGGATAAATAAATAAACCTCTGTTCTACATCACACAGAAACTGCCGACTCTCAGAATAACCTATGGCTTCGATTTCTGCCACAGTTTGAAAGGACCTTCAATACTTGACTACCACCTCTATTACTACACAGATGGGAAAGGGGCATTGATGCACAAAGCCAGGGGGAGGAAAGATGGTGGTCTTCCTATGGAGCATGGTGAAAATATGATAGCTGGGACCGGAAGCTATCGGAGCTTCCGAGTGTTACGGAGATGCCGCAAAGGTGGCTGTGAATAAGGGAAGAGAGGGGATGGAGTGAGAGTGGGGAGAGAAAAGGAAGGATAGAAAGGAGGGGACACTTAGGATAAGGGTTAAAGAAAGGTTTTGGCTTATGGATAGGGTTAGCGTAAGGGTTTGGGTAAGGGGTTAGGCTTATGGTAGGGTTCAGGGTTAGGCTAAGCGTTTCACCATTAAAGAACAATTACATTCCTTCTATATCAGTGTTTCTCAACCCTCCTAATGCCGTGACCCCTTAAAAAGTTCCTCATGTTGTGGTGACCTCCAACCATAAAATTATTTTCATTGCTACTTCATACCTACAATTTTACTACTGTTATGAATCGTAATGTAAATATCTGATGTGCAGGATGTATTTTCCCATGACCAACAGAAAATACTGGAAGGGTTTGGTGGGCATTGACCTTGAGTTTGGAAGTTGTAGTTCACCTACATCCAGACAGCACTGTGGACTCAAACAATGATGGATCTGGACCAATCTTGGCATGTATACTCAATATGCCCAAATGTGAACACTGGTAGAGTTTGGGGGAAATAGACCTTGACATTTGGGAGTTCTAGTTGCTGGGATTTATAGTTCACCTACAACCAAAGAACAGTCTGTGCCCCACCAACGACAGATTTGGGCCAAACTTCACACACATGACCCCCAATACCAACAGACAATACGGTGTTTTTCCGAAGGACTTTGGTGACCCCTCTGACAGCTCCTCAAAAAAAACCCCCAGGGGTCCTGACTCCCAGGTTGAGAAACACTGTTCTATATTATCTGTCTCGGGCCTGGCTAACATTAGCTAAGTTTCTCTTGCGCAAAGAGCGCTCCCAAACGAGCGATGCGGCATCTCCGTAACACTCAGGGCTTCCGGACCCAGCTATCATACTATTACCCAAAACTCAAGAGTGTCCATATGCCTTATTAGCATTTCAACGCCGAAGGGATGGAAGATGAAAAGGGAAGGATGCCATTCCAAATAACTTTGGAAGTGTGTCTTCATTCTGTGCCTTCGTGCTGCCTATCTACCTATCATGTTGTGGACCACCCCCGAAATTGTCAGGGTGGTCCACAAGAAGGCCTTACTGGTAAAAGGTAAAGGTTGTCCCCAGGCATGTAGCCGGGGGGGGGGGGGGGCTTTGGGGGCTTCAGCCCCCCCCCCCGAAATTCTCATGGTGGTCCGCGAGAAGGCCTTACTGGTACATTATTTAAACTGTTATGTTTATTCATATCATGATCTGATCACCATGCTCAATATATCCCATATGCATGGGGGTATTGGGGTAATGATACAAAAGGTTTGCTAGGGTAGACCCTCTTTCACTCAGACTCAGCCCCCCCCCCCAAACAAAATCCTGGCTACGGGCCTGGTTGTCCCCTGACATTAAGTCCAGTCATGTTGACTCTGGGATGTGGTGCTCATCTCCATGTCTAAGCCGAAGAGCCGGCGTTGTCCATAGACACCTCCAAGGTCATGTGGCCGGCATGATTGCATGGTACATTCTTTAAACTGTTACTTATTATTATTATTAAACTTTATTTGTACCCCGCTAGCATCTCCCGAAGGATTCGATGCGGCTTACACAGGCCGAGGCCTCAACACACAACATAGCAATACAAACTAGGCAAATCAAACAATTAGAAACAGGATAAAGCAAATAAACAACAGGCAAAAGCAATACACTAAAACACAGTAAGAACTGGGCCAGGCCAGAGTAATGGGTACAAGAATTAAAAGTGCTGATGTGACAGGAGGTGTATATGAGGCTTCTAGGGCAAGTGCTATGTGCAGCAGTCATTGGTTCTGATAAGGTGCTTATGGACTTGGTAGTGGAGATTTCCTAATCTGGGAAGGCGCATCGGAAAAGACAAGTCTTCAAGTTCTTTCTGAAGACTGCCAGTGTGGGGGCCTGTCTAAGCTCTTTGGGGAGGGTGTTCCAGAGTCTGGGGGCCACCATGGAAAAGGCCCTGTCCCGTGTCCCCACCAAGTGCGCTTGCGACGCAGGTGGGATCACGAGCAGGGCCTCTCCAGATGACCGAAGTGAGTGTGTGGGTTCGTAGATGGAAATGCGGTCACGCAGGTAAGCTGGTCCCAAACCGTTCAGGGCTTTGTAGGTAAGCACCTGCACCTTAAATTGAGCTCAGAATATAAACGGCAGCCAGTGGAGCTCCTTGAACAGGAGGGTTGACCTCTCTCTGTAAGGGGCCCCAGTTAACATCCTGGCTGCTGATTGTTGGACCAGTTGGAACTTATGTTTACTCATATCATAATCTGATCACCATGCTCAATATATCCCATATGCATGGGGGTATTGGGATAACGATACAAAAGGTTTGCTAGGGTAGATCCTAAGCCCCCCACCCCCGAATCAAAATCCTGGCTGGGGGCCTGTACCCATGGCAACTTCATGAACGTCGTTGGCTTTAGGTCAGGAAAGGGCACAGGTGGATGAACTGCTAAAAGAAAGCAGTTGTTGAGAGAAGCAAGCGCGCTTCCCGGGGGGAAATCCACGCACACCCCAAAGGGGGGAGAAAGAAAAGGGGAGGCTGTGGGAGAAGGGCCACAGAAGCCCCACCCTGGCGACCAATTCCGGGTCCGAGGCGTTGGCAGCCTATCAGAGGGAGCCACACCAGCTTCCCGCAAAGGAGGCAGGCAGGCAGGCAGGCGAGGGCGCGAACCTGAGGGAAGGCCCCTCCCGCCCCCTCGGGCCCAGCTGAGGCCCTCCACTCACCAGAACCAGGAGGAGGCGGCCGGCGGGCTGCGGGAAGATGGCGGCGGGGGCTCTCATGGTGGGGGCCGAGAGAGAAGGAAGGAAGGAAGGAAGGAAAGAAAGGCGAAGGGCTACCAATCTCCTCTCTCCCCCGGCCTCCGAAGGAACTGCACGCCGGTCGCGAGCTCCACAGACAGCCGCAGGAGGAGGAGGAGGAGACCGGCCTCGCTCACTTGGCTCGCTCGCGCCACCCGCCCCCTCACGCAAACGAGGCACACTTCCGGGTTCTAAGTTCGCCCCGCAGCCTGCCGGGAAATGTAGTCTCCTTCGAAGGAGGGCGCTTATATTGAGATCAGCGCCCTCTCTGGTCAGGGAAGGGAACTGCTCCAAAGTGGGAAGGGGGGAAACTTCGGCCACACTTTCCTCTGAGGGAGAGTTCTGAAAGTCCCAGAATGCACTACGGAGAAGGGATGAAGGCAAGGCTGAGGGGCTTTTTGGGGACCATCTTTCGTGTTGGGCGGGAAGGAGGCGCCGGGGTGAGGTAAGTGGCGAAGAGGACGCTGCTGGGACTGAAGGGGCGCCTCCTGCGCGGAGAGGGCGGCCGTGCTCACTCCCTGGAAGTTCACGGCAGCCTCTGTGGACTCGGGTGAGGGTTACTTATTTATTTATACACCGCTTTTCTCCCATGGGTGGGATTCATAGCTGCGAGCAGTGGTTAAAACAGCAGAAAGGGACGAGAGACAGGGCCTTCTCAGTGGTGGCCCCTCGTCTGTGGAACGCCCTGCCTGCAGATATCAGATTGGCCCCCTCCCTGCTGGCGTTTCAGAGGAAAGTGAAGACCTGGCTGTTCGAACAAGCATTTGATTAAACAGTGTCATTGAACATAGGAATACAGAATAATGGATGATGAGACTGGATTCCTGATTTTACTGTTGAGGCACTAATGATTGTTATTCTGATGTTAATGATTTATGTTACAATTGTTTTTAATTGCCCTATATTTGTCTCGTGATGTTTTGTATCGATGTTGTTCACCGCTTTGAGTCGCCTGAGGGCTGAGAAAAGCGGTATATAAGTAAAGTAAATAAATAAATAAATAAAGTTACATGACACAAAAAAGCACAACAACATCGCCCCAAATGGGACAAACAAATAGCACCTTGCATAAACCAGACACAACAAACTTAGTAAATACCACGTGTCTTGTTAAAAATTCCCTGGGCCTCCGGCCACTGAGGTTAGCCATAAAATATTACACCAAAAATCCTAGTAGCTCTGCTTCTTTAGGCCGTGGACACATTACCTAAAAGGCAGAGGAACGAGGGACCAAATTGCCAATATCCGCTGGATAATGGAGAAAGGCAGGGAGTTTCAGAAAAACATCTATTTCTGCTTCATTGACTACTCTAAAGCCTTTGACAGTGTGGATCATAATAAATTGTGGACATACCAAATCACCTTGTCTGTCTCCTGAGGAATCTGTATAAGGACCAAGTAGCAACAGTAAGAACTGACCACGGAACAACAGACTGATTCAAGATTGGGAAATGCGTACGGCAGGGTTGCATCCTCTCACCCAACCTATTCAACTTGTATGCAGAACACATCATGCGAAATGTGAGGCTTGAGGAATGCAATGAACACAAAAGACAATGCATTCCCACAATCACAAAAAGCACAAATCCACTACAAGTAATGGTACACAAAACACAAAGGTAAACATATTCTTTCAGCTAATATAATGCAATATTGAACAAATAACAAATTTATATAGTGCGGCATACAGTAGTATATAATGAATTACAGACTGTGGTTTACACAATGATTATATAACTAGCAAAAAGAGCCTTTCTTGGTGTAAAGCCAACTTCTGTATAGGGCAGGCATGTAGCCGGGGGGGGGGGGGGGGGGGGGCGAGGGGCTTCAGCCCCCCCCCCCCGAAATTCTCATGGTGGTTCGTGAAAAGGTCTTACTGGTGCATTATTTAAACTGTTATGTTTATTCATATCATGATCTGATCACCATGCTCAATATATCCCATATGCATGGGGGTATTGGGGTAATGATACAAAAGGTTTGCTAGGGTAGACCCTCTTTCACTCAGACTCAGCCCCCCCCACCCCCGAAACTCAGCCCCACCACCCGAATCGAAATCCTGACTACGGGCCTGGTATAGGGCATGAAGTCCCTTACTCTAGAGAAGGATACTCTTGAGTGAGGTTTCTGTTTCTTGTAAGAAGATACACACACTTCTCTTGAGGGCATAAAATCCCTTACTTTAGACAAAGTTACTCTTGTACGAAGATATCCACGGCCGGTTTCAACTACAGTCTTCCTCAGGTGGAGAATTGTAGAGAGTAATGAAGTGGACATCAAGTTCATCACAATAACAGTACTTCCTCGGATGTTTTATACAGTGAAACAGTGGATCTACAGGGAATATACACAAGTGGCTAGTCTTTCATTCCTCATAGAACTTGAGGAATGCAAGACTGGGGTGAAAATTGCTGGAATAAACATTAACCTTAGATATGCAGGTGACACCACTTTGATAGCCAAAAGCGAGGAGGAGCTGAGGAGCCTTCTAACCAAGGTGAAAGAAGAAAGCGCAAGAACTGGGTTGCAGTTAAACATAAAAAAAACAAAGATTATGGCAACAAGAATGATTGACAACAGGGAAATAGAGGGAGAAAACGTGGAGGCCGTGACAGACTTTGTATTTCTAGGTGCAAAGATCACTGCAGATGCAGACTGCGGCCAGGAAATCAGGAGACGCGTACTTCTTGGGAGGAGAGCAATGTCCACTCTCAATAAAATAGTAAAGAGTAGAGATATCACACTGGCAACAAAGATCCGCATAGTCAAAGCCATGGTATCCCTGTAGTAACCTACGGATGTGAGAGCTGGACCTTAGGGAAGGCTGAGCGAAGGAAGATAGATGCTTTTGAACTGTGGTGTTGGAGGAAAGTTCTGAGAGTGCCTTGGCCTGCGAGAAGATCCAACCAGTCCATCCTCCAGGAAATAAAGCCCGGCTGCTCACTGGAGGGAAGGATACTAGAGACAAAGTTGAAGTACTTTGGCCACATCATGAGGAGACAGTAAAGCCTAGAGAAGACAATTATGCTGGGGAAAGTGGAAGGCAAAAGGAAGAGGGGCCGACCAAGGGCAAGATGGATGGATGGCATCCTTGAAGTGAGTGGACTGACCTTGAAGGAGCTGGGGGTGGTGACGGCCGACAGGGAGCTCTGGCGTGGACTGGTCCATGAGGTCACGAAGAGTCGGAGACGACTGAACGAATGAACAACAACAAAGTGGCTGGGATTTATAGTTCACCTACAATCAAAGACCATTCTGAACTCCATCAATTATGGAATTGAACCAAACTTGGCACACAGAACACCCATGACCAACAGAAAATACTGAAAGGGTTTGGTGGGCATTGACCTTGACTTTGGGAGTTGTAGTTCTCCTACATCCAGAGAGCACTGTGGACTCAAACAATGTTGGATCTGGACCAGACTTGGCACAAGCACTCAATACGCCCAAATATGAACACAGATGGAGTTTGGGGGAAATAGACCTTGACTTTTGGGAGTTGTAGTCACTCAGAGTCACAGCTAACCTACAATCAAAGAGCATTCTGAACCCCACGAATGACAGAATCGGGGCAAACTTCCCACACAGAACCCCCATGACCAACAGAAAATACTTAAGGCCATCCAATCCAACTCCCTTCATCTGGCCAAGAAAACGTAATCAAGGCCCTCCTGACAAAGAACCATCCAGCCATAGATATAGATAGCTAGATAGGTAGGTAGATAGATATGATTCACACACACACAGATATAGTGTTATAGATTTGAAAGCGACCCTTAAAGAAGGACAAAGATATGTTGCATGTTCCAGGGTGGGCAAACCAGACATTCTCCACATCAACACTGACAAACAACAAGAAATACTGTTTACCCACAAGCATAAAGAAATTACATATATTAGAAACCAACACTTTCTCATTACTTTATTTTCCAGATGAACAGACTGGGCCACGGCAACGCGTAGCAGGGGATAGCTAGTTTATTTATACACCGCTTTTCTCCCATGGGTGGGATTCATAGCGGCGAGCAGTGGTTAAAACAGCAGAAAGTTACCTGACACAAAAAAGCACAACAACATTGCCCCAAATGGAACAAACAAATAGCACTTTGCATAAACCAGGTACAACAAACTTAATAAATACCACGTGTCCTGTTAAAAATTCCCTGGGCCTCCGGCCACTGAGGTTAGTCATAAAATATTACACCAAAAATCCTAAAGGCTCTGCTTATTTTTAGGCTGCATACACATTGCCTAAAGTCGACCACAATCTTTTGACCCACCGCCTTGCTGCTGTTGGAGTCAGGGGAACAGCTTTAAATTGGCTGTCCTCCTTTCTTCACAACCAACCGTGGACAGGGAGTGGAGAGGGGAGGCCTTTGTCTCTGAGAGGTCCCCTCTGTCTTGTGGGGTTCCTCAGGGGGCCATTCTCTCCCCTCTGTTGTTTAACATCTATATGCGACCACTTGCTCAGCTGGTTCGAGGTTTTGGGCTTGAGTGTTACCAGTACGCTGATGACACTCAGCTGGTGCTGAAGATGGAAAGCGGACCGGACTCTGCACCCGATTGTTTCCATCAGTGCCTCGAGGCCGTTACTAGATGGCTGCATGCCAGCAGGTTGAGGGTGAATCCAGCAAAGACGGAGATCCTATGGCTGGGTCAACCGGGCAGTGGGGATATCCAGCTGCCTACCCTGGATAGCGAGACGCTACGCCTGTCATCATTGGTAAAGAGTCTGGGAGTCCTTTTGGACCCTCTGCTGACGATGGAGGCCCAGGTCTCTGCCGTTAGCAGAACCGCCTTTTTTCATCTGCGGCAGGCTAGACGGCTGGCCCCCTACCTGTCCAGGGACGACCTAGCTACGGTGATCCAGGCTACGGTCATCTCAAGACTGGACTACTGTAACGCCCTCTACATTGGCCTTCCTCTGTCGGTGATCCGGAACCTCAAGTTGGTACAAAATGCAGCTGCTCAGCTTCTTGCGGGAATTCCAATGAGATGCCACATAACCCCAATCTTACTGCAGCTGCATTGGTTACCAATTGAGCACCGGATCACTTTCAAAGTGATGGTACTCACCTTTAAGGCCTTGCATAGTCTGGGGCCGATGTACCTGAAGGACCGCCTCACCCCCTACCAACCCCAGAGATCCCTTCTTTCTGAGGACCAAGATCTATTGGAAATTCCCAGTGTCAAGACCTTGCGTCTAACAGCAACCAGACGCAGAGCCTTTACAGCAGTGGCACCATCACTCTGGAATACTCAGCCACCTGAAGTCCGTGCCTTGCGGGATTTATCAGCTTTCCGCAGGGCATGTAAGACATATCTATCTTGACGGGCTTTTGATCTCTGACATTGTTGTTTTTAAATTATGTTCGATTTTAGCCTGTTCTTGTAAGCCGCTCCGAGCCCCAGGGGAGTGGCGGCATATAAGTTAGAATAATAAATAAATAAATAAAGGCAGAGGAACGAGGGACCAAATTGCCAATATCCGCTGGATAATGGAGAAAGGCAGGGAGTTTCAGAAAAACATCTATTTCTGCTTCATTGACTATTCTAAAGCCTTTGACTGTGTGGATCATACTAAATTGTGGCAAGTTCTTGGTGGTATGGGCGTCCCAAGCCACCTTGTCTCTCTCCTGAGGAATCTGTATAAGGACCAAGTAACAACAGTCAGAACTGACCATGGAACAACAGACTGGTTCAAGATTGGGAAAGGCGTACGGCAGGGTTGTATCCTCTCACCCAACCTATTCAACTTGTATGCAGAACACATCAGGCGAAGTGTGGAGCTTGAGGAATGCAAGACTGGGGTGAAAATTGCTGGAATAAATATTAACAACCTTAAATATGCCCAGTCTGCTGATCTCCAGGTACAGGATTCCATCAGCCCCAAATGCCACTTGATGTGTTTTCATATCCTGGACGAGCCCCCATTTTGTTACAGTAGGTTCTTAGAAAACACGCCAGGCCTTCCTCTGAAGTGGAAAAATGCAGGTTTATTCAGCTGGGACCTCAGGTGGATCACTCCAACACAAATTCTTGAAGACCCTGTATGATATTTAAACAAAGCATTTATACCATTGGCATACATTCAAAGCATTCCAACGCACTACATAGATTTCACTGGTACAGAAACATCTGCTGAGGTCACACACGCAAGATGAAGTATACAAAGGACCCCCCCCCCTCTTTGCATGTACTGTTCATTCCTTGATTACATGGCACCCTTAGTGTTTCAAACAACATTGTGCAGGTGAAAATATCTGTATGATCTTACTGGCATCTTTTCATGTGAAAACTTTTTTTGTTTGGGTAGGCCTTGGAAGCCTGATTGCTCAAATGGAGGGTCTTGCAAAATGTTTTTTTCTATTTGCTCTTTTTGTTGTAATAGGTTATTGTTTTAACCAGCTTTAAATATTTAATAGTTCAAATACAATTTAATATTTTTATGTTGTGAAATGTTAGCTACCAGTATGTTTTCTTTACCTATCTTGAGTCCCAAACTGTGAAAAGAGCAGATAATAATTTTTAAAATTTTAAAAAAACTTTGAAAGCAGTGCTACATTGGTACAATATTTAACTTCTCATTCATAAAGCATTCTTTTTGTTTTGTGACCAAGTTACTTGTGGGTAATAGTTGTTATTATTTTTAATGTGTTCATACAGAGTTGACCTTTGAACCTTCATAGAAGATTATGAATGTTTCTGAGACCTGGCTTTTCAATGGTTCCTCACTAGTATCTCAGGTTCATGCTGCTGCTGTTAATGGACACAAGAGTGCTCTTCTAAAGCAAATAGCAGGTAAAAATGTTATCTTCGGTATAAATAATGTACTTTACTTATTTCCATCTAGCAGCACTTCTTCAACTTCAGTTCCATTGAATATTTGAACAGAAAAGGAATAATGATAAGTACAATAGTATAGTTTGTTTTTAAAAAAGGCAATTGCAAGTCATATGCCATTTTTCTCATCTCTGTATCTGTTGATATAGTACTATGTTTTGAAGGGCAGATGTCATAGTTATGCCAACAATGAGAATCTCATAGTCCTTTAGGGTGCAAGCCTGTTGGAGGTCAGATGAGAGGAAACAGAGAAAAAATGACAGTTAGAACAAGATTATAATATATACCCTTGGTGTTATCTATATTAAATCTATATTGGTTAAAAACATCACAATAAAAATGACATAAAAATAAAAATGGCCAGCGCAAAATAACTAGGTATCTGGAATTAAGCTCAACTGAAATTAGTGACACTCATTTCTGATTGCATAGATTCAGTTTGAAAGTTCGTTCAACTGACATGCAAACTTTAACCTGTAGTTAGAAATACAAACAAGATTGAAAGTCAGTACAACTATTTGAACTGCTAGCATGGTATAGAAACCTGATAAAAGCAGTGAAGAATTCAACATTTTCTTTGTTATTTTCTTCATTTTTGTCATTTGTACTAATTCAGTGTTTTCCAATTTTTACTATTCAAGATATTTTGGACTTCAACTCTCAGAAGCCCCAGACAATTTGCTAAACAGTGAGGAGTTTGTAACAGTTTAAAGTTGAAAACATAAAGTTGAAAACATCCGCAAATAATTTGTTTCTCTTTTATCTCACCCGAGTTTTTAACTAGTTTTAATTCATTCCTCTTTTAACCATTACATGTAGCCCGCCCATTGTCACTATGTTTGTGTTTACTGAAATTTTATATTGTTATGTATTCACATGTTTTATGTAATTATGATGTTGTTGTTTATTGTTCGCGTTTTCGGTTTGCGTTTTCGGTTTCTCGTTATTGTAATTGTTGTTTGGGCTTGGCCTCATGTAAGCCGCTCCGAGTCCCCATCGGGGAGATGGTGGCGGGGTATAAATAAAGTTTATTGTTATTGTTATTATTATTATTATTTGATGGGTCAGAACCATCACTGATTGGTCACAAATAACAAGGGGGGAATTTGTCTCCTTATTCACTTGCCAGAGCATGACAGCTCTATTAGTACTGTTGCTATGAAGCCATCACTTCTCACAAAAATAGTTCCAGTTCTTTCTTCCTCCAGGTTGCACTTTTATCCGCTGACTTCTTTACATAGTCATCATGTTAAATAAAAGCTGGCCTTTTGATTTCCAGCATGTATTTCATTAAAATACATGCTGCCTTTGGAAAGGTGGTGATATTATGGAAAGTTTACTCCTATATGCATTTTATTATTATGCTAATATTTTATTTATTTTTTTATTTTACAATATTTATATTCTGCCCTTCCCACCCTGCAGGGGACTCAAGGCGGATTACAATGTACACATATATGGCAAACATTTAATGCCAAAGACACACAACAGAAATAGACAAACAGTCAGAGGCTATTTAACTTTTTCTGGCCACCAGGGGAGCTGCCGCTTTCATCATCCATCTGCGACGCTGATGAAATACTTCTGCATTCCCTGCATGCTTTTGCTGGAGTGCTTTGCTGGAGTCTTTTTTTATGGCCTCGTAAATTTTGTTAAATTAGCCTCCCCATACATAGGTGGTACCTAATTTTCCTACTTGACAGATGAAATTGTCTTTCGGGTTGCAAAGGTCGACAACAAGCTACACAGTTGGTCGGAAACTCACTCCGACCCGGGCTGGCTTCGAACTCATGACCTTGTGGTCAGAAGTGATCTTAATGCAGTTGACACTCAGACAGCTGCGCCACAATCCCGGTACATGTACTTTAAAAATATGCAACCGAAAATTCATATTATATGGATTTTGATGGGGGTTTTTTCCAGTTGTATGGTATTCCCGTGACTTTCAAGAAAGTTTTATAAAGTACCTATGGTTTGCACAAAAATAGGAGATATTAAAAAAAATGCCAAAGTTTCTGTTTTGTGAGACTTAAGAGCAGACTTGCACAACGTACAGCCCACGGGCTGCTTGCGACCCACCAAAGGACTTCAAGTGGCCCACAAAAAATGTTGTTGTTGTTCATTCGTTCAGTCATCTCCGACTCTTCGTGACCTCATGGACCAGCCCACGCCAGAGCTCCCTGTCGGCCGTCACCACCCCCAGCTCCTCCAAGGTCAGTCCAGTCACTTCAAGGATGCCATCCATCCATCTTGCAAAAAATGTAGAGGATGTAAAATAAACTGGAGGAGAAAGTACATAAAGGGAGCATGAGGTATACTCTGCAGCCAAACAAAAGAGCTTTTCATTCACACCCCCTCTATGGGGGAATATGCACCTCTCAAGAACTCATGGTCATGCGTGATGATGATACTGATGGATGCAGAGGCAGATGGATGCAGAAAAAAAAGAACTCCCCTTTCCCGTCTTCCTTGTGACTTTGACCTGACATCATTCAAACATGGCAACTGTCCCGATTTAAAAGCAAGGTTGAGGATGTCTCCTCCTACTCCCAAAGGCTCATGAAGAGCACCAAAAATGGGCCTCTGGAGGGAAAGAGAATAAGTACAGAATGTTTACATGGCAGTTCACATGGAATCATAACACTATAAGAGTTCGGCCTCCTATCACACTATTGTTATAGCACTATCATTCCACTTGAACTGCCATAGAAACATTCTGTGGAATCATTCAATTTGGAGTTACAGCAGAGGCAAGAGCTGAAATTTCACTTCCAGGCAAAGAAACCAGGAGGAGAGTTCTTTGCAGAAAAATAATGTTACTGTACTAAAAATCCTTGATCAACACTTGGGACATCCCCCTTCCCACATTAATGGGTGACAAGAATTGTGAGTGTGCATGCAGAGAAAGAACCAACCCATTTGCAAAGCTCTCCAACCATATGTTCTCCAGAGCTCATGTTTTCACGTCATCTTCTGCCTTCACCTGTGTGTGCCCAACCAGGTCTGGGATTTATTGATGTTTTATATTGCAAAGTGGGAGTTCTGTTTACTTCAAAGCAACAAACATGGAAAGAGTTGTTGTTGTTGTTGTTGTTGTTGTTGTTGTTGTTGTGTGAAAATGAGAGATCCCAGTTCAACCAAGAGGGGGATATGCAGTTATCCAGAAGTTGAAATCAAATTTGAGACCAAAAGGAAATAATTTCTGCTCGCTTTGGAAGAGGATGAAGATGTTTCTCCTCATGGATCAAGGAGGGAAAAATTATTCAAACTCCTGCCGGTTAGCAAAGTAATGTGATTTCATGATTTTGAAAAAGTCTTAAGTAATGTGTAATTAATTGAAATTTCACTTTTTTCAATATGGTTTATTTTCAAAATAGATTAATCAGAATTATACCTCTTCTTGAAAAATGATGCGCTAAAAACTCTTCTGTGGCCCTAAGAACTTTAGTCTATTTTCATTTTGGTCCCAACTACTGCCAAGTTTTGCAAGTCTGCTTAAGAGTTTTCTGAATTCCATTTAGAAAACAAGTTACCAAATAATTCTAAGCATCAAAACCTGACAAATGCTGTTAGTTAGTTGGGTGAGATTGAATAGGAACCAAACTGTGATAGAAATTTAGAGCCATTTTTGAACCTCTACCACCATATCACGGTATTTTTTCAGCTTTCACAGGAAAAAGCTTTGCTACTTGAACCTCTGTCACAACAAAAAGACAACCCTAGGATTGTTAGAAGATAGGTCGTTGTTTGTAGCACATAGATCATTGACCTGCTCTGTTCCAGGCACTCTAACTATCAAGCAGTTACATCTTTACAGAGTTTAGGAAGTAACCTTACCAGATAATAATCTTGGGAAGCAAATAATTCAGAAGATATTATATTTAGCAAATAAGACAGGCATGGCAGGTGGTAGAACACAGTGTGCACACTGTTGCAGTGACTGAGATGCTGTAGTAACCCTAGATGAGCAAAATTAAGAACATAAAGTACTGGTAGTGGAGTAGATGAAAAAGGAAGTATTCAGGTGCAACTAGGCTACGAAGGCTGAAGCCTCATGATTTGGGGAATAAGACTAAATGACGAAGCTAGAAAAATAACAATCAATACAGAATAATTGCTGCATTGAATTATTGCAACCTTTTGGGATTTATATAGATTAATATAATCAATGAGCAAGGAATTAAGGATATATGCTCTTTTTAAGAGTCTTTATGATTGGATGTATTACTGGACTAAAGAACAGAAAAAAATATAATACAGATGCCAAACCAGATTCCTGTGCGGTTTGTTCTAACGTTTGTTGAAAACGTGCCTGTTTTGAATATCATAATTTATTTAAATAGGCTTACGTTTTCATGCCTTTAAATCTTCTCCAGCGCATTAACATGATGGTGAATCCCTCTTCTCAAAACAACAGTGGCCATATTCCAAATTATTGAAATATCTATCAACAAGGGAAAACTTAACAGTACTACCAGCTTAATTTAAAAAAAAAAAAAGAATTACTCCCTGTATCAGATCCAGACTTTGTCACATCTTTATATATAAAAATGCTCTGTGCATAATGAGTACCTTAAAAACAAAAGAACCAATGAATGAAATCACACCAAATTTGACAACAAAATGTCTCACTATACAAGGAGTGACCACTCAAAAATTATGATTTTGTCATTTAGGAGTTGTAGTTGTGGTATTTATAGTTCACCTATAATCAAAGAGCATTCTGAACACCAAGAGTGGAATGGAACCAAACTTGGCACACAGGACTCCCATTTTTTTTTTTTTTTTGGGTCATGTCAGGAGTGACTTGAGAAACTGCAAGTCGCTTCTGGTGTTAGAGAATTGGCCATCTGGAAGGACGTTGCCCAGGGGATGCCTGGATGATTTGATGTTTTATCATCCTTGTGGGAGGCTTCTCTCATGTCCCCGCATGAGGAGCTGGAGCTGATAGAGGGATCTCATCCGCCTCTCCCCGGATTCGAACCTGCGACCTGTCGGTCCAGTCCTGCTGGCACAGGGGTTTAACCCCTCTGCGCCACCGGAGGACTCCCATGACCAACAGAAAATACTGAAAGGGTTTGGTGGGCATTGACCTTGAATTTTGGAATTGTAGCTCACCTCCATCCAGAGAACACTATGGACACAAACAATGATGGATCTGAACCAAACCTGACAGGAATACTCAATATGCCCAAATGTGAACACAGATGGAGTTTGGGGGAAATAGACCTTGACATTTGGGAGTTGTAGTTACTAGGATGTATAGTTCTCCTACAGTCAAAGAGCATTCCGAACCCCACCAATGATGGAATTGGGCCAAACATCCCACACAGAACCCCCATGACAAACAGAAAACTCTGTGTTTTCTGGTTGTCTTTGGTGACCGTTCTGACACCACCCCTGGTGACCTCCCTCCAGGGTCTTAATTTCCACGGTTCAGAAATGCTGCCATAAGGCCATCCAGTCCAACTCCCTTCACCAGGGCAAGAAAACATAATCAAAGCCCTCTTGACAAAGGGCCATCCAGCCATTCACACACACACACATATGTATATGACAGATGCAGTATCAAAGATTTGAAAGGGACCCCTAGAGAAGGACAATGATATGTTGCATGTTCCAGAGTAGGCAAACCAGAGAATCTCCACATCAACACTGGCAAAGAAACAGCAAGAAATACTATTTACTCACAAGCATAAAGACATTACATATATTAGAAACCAACACTTTCTCATTATTTTCCAGATCGCCAGACTGGGCCACAGCAACACATGGCAGGAGACAGCTAGTTTATAGTAGAAATCAATGGGACATTAATGGTAAACTTAAATCCTATTGCTTTTAATAGGTGTACGGTGGAAAACTAGTATAAAACTATATAGAAGTAAGTTTGTGTCTGTATCTATGGAATTTTGACTACTCATAAAGGAAATAGTTATGAATCAGAGAAGCGGGCAGTATATGGTTGGATAGGAGCTACGTAATACATGGTAGAAACTTATAAAAAAAAGTCAGATTTGACAGTCCAGATCTCTTGGAATATGTTCCTGTGGGACATTAGGCTCTTAAAGATAACATCTAAGCACTTCATATGCTCTCCAAAATGAGAAGACTTTGTGCACCAATTAGATAGTCGTTTGCACTTATACTCCAGCACATACTGATTCTCTGATGACAGAGATTGTTGCCTAAGTGACAAAAGACTGGTATTCTGTTCCCAAGCATAGTCACATTCCTAACCTTAGAAACCTGTTTTGATGATGGAGATTGAGAAGGTGGTCTGTTTCTTTACTAGGGACAGAAATGCTCAGGTATGGAGAAAAGTATTTAAGCTATTTTTTGGCCATCATGTAGGTGGGTTTTTTGAAGTATAAATAATTATTTTGATGCTGATATGACACTGCCCTAGTGAATAAATTACTAATACAAATAGTTTAAACAGTTGTATCATTATTATATAGTCATATTGGCTTTGTTTTCTTTTTGTTATAGTCACGTTAAGCTGTGTGTGTATCTCTTTACATTTCAGTAGGAAAAGTAGAGTTTGTTTGCATACTGTTTTATTTATGACATTTTATAGCACTTTTAATTTTAAAAATCTTTCCAGTGATTTTTATTGTATAAACTTAGATTATGGTAGAGACATTTGCATTTTAAAGGTTTTTTTTAACATTTAAAAATATTGGACTTGAAACTGATTAACTGTTCTAATCCTATTAAGCACATATACTGATGTTTTTATTATATGCTAATATGATTAATCAGTTTCATTATGCCTCTCCCTAAGTATTAAAAGCAAGTCATGTAATCTCACAGAAACTTTTGACACACAGTGTTACTGTGTTTTCCCCCCAGAATTTTTGTCCCCAAATTATTTAGTTTCTATAAATGGTAAACGTTTTGCAAAACAGTGCTGGTTCAGATTGTAGATAATGCTTATATTCCTAGTAGTCACAATATTGGTTTCCTACACTTGAGACTAAAATATCAGGGGAAGCATTTATCATAACCTTCTTGCTTTAAAGACATTTGTTTATACTGAGATCACTGTTGTTTTTTCTCCTTGAAGGAATAGTCAGATGATAAAAAAAATCTTCATGTTGAAGATATTCCTTCATTGTCTGAAAATTTATTTATTTATTTGCAGTATTTATATTCTGCCCTTCTCACCCCGCGGGGGCTCAGGGCAGATTACAATGTGCATATACATGGCAAACCTTCAATGCCATAGACACACAACATATATAGACAGACACAGAGGCAATTTAACATTCCAGCTTTTTCTTGAGGGTATTTTGGCCACCAGGGGAGCTGTTCCTTCACCGACCATTTGTGACACTGATGAAGTACTTCCTCATTCTTTGCATGCTTGCTGGAGATTTTTATGGCCTCGTAAATTAGTTACATTTGCATTCCCGCATAAGTGGTACGTAAATTTCTTATTTGACACATGCAACTGTCTTTCGGACTGCAAAGGTCAACAGCAAGCTACACAGATTGGTCAGACGCTCACTTCGACCTGGGCTGGCTTCGAACTCATGACCTTTTGGTCAGTAGTAATCTAAATGCAGCTGACTCCCAGCCAGTCCCGGTGAAAACATCTTCACTTTGGAGCAAATTCAGAAAAACTTCACATTTTATTATAGCTAAATGGTTAAATTATGCCTAACTAGTACCAGCTATTCTTGCCAACTTTAGTTATCAACTTGTGTTTCATACCTTTCATAGCAGCTTGATAGCAGACATAAGCAGATTATTATTTTTACCTTCATGATCTGAAAGGTTTTACCAACTGACTTCTATTGTTAAAGACACCATATCAATCAAGGTTGGGTTTTCTTTTTCTTTTTTCTAGTCTTTTGGCATGTCTAGCATTGAAAGATACATAAATGTTTATTTTCGTCTGAAAAGACCTTGCATGCTGCTTATCTAGAAAAAAAATATTATTGTAAATTAATCTTCTGTAAAGTATTAATTGGAGCCCCTGGTGGCGCAGTGGATTAAAGCGCTGAGCTGCTGAGCTTGTTAACCAAAAGATCGCAGGTTTGATTCTGGGGAGTGGCGTGAGCTTCCGCTGTCAGCCCTAGCTTCTGCCAACCTAGCAGTTCGAAAAAATATGCAAATGTGAGTAGATCAATAGGTACCGCTCCGGCGGGAAGGTAGCAGCGCTCCATGCAGTCATGCCAGCCACATGACCTTGGAGGTGTCTATGGACAACGCTGGCTCTTCGGCTTAGAAATGGAGATGAGCACCACATCCCAGAGTCAGACATGACTGGACTTAATGTCAGGGGATAACCTTTACCTTTACCTTTAAAGTATTAATTAATCTTCTTCCTATTCGCTTTCCTGTTGTTATAGGTGACCCTGATCTGAAAGACAAAGAAGACCAGTTTGGGCGAACTCCACTCATGTACTGTGTCTTGGCAGACAGGCTAGAATGTGCTGAAGCTTTGTTGAAGGCGGGGGTTGACCTTAATAAAGCTGACCATACCAAGAGGACAGCTCTCCATCTTGCTGCCCAAAAGGTAACTTACTGAAAGTACTAAAAGGGTAGTTAAATAATGATCACACACACAACTAGTTCTTTGTATCAGAAACAGTGTTATTAGCATTCTCATACAATAGCCATGCTCACACTCCGACCTCCTTCGCAGGCGCGATTGGTGGGGATGAGGAAGAGGGCCTTCTCGGTGGTGACCCCCCCCCCCCCCCCCCCCCCGACTCTGGAACTCACTTCCCAGGGACATCAGACATGCCCCAACTTTTGCAGTCTTTAGGAGGAGTCTGAAAACATGGTTGTTCCAGTGTGCCTTCCCAGAATAAGGAAAACTCTCAGCAATATGCCCTCAAAATGCACTTTACCATTGATTTAGAATAGACTGCGTTCCCTCACTTCTCTCTGAAAATGTCCACATACCGTCAGCATTATTTTAATTTTAATCTATTACATTTGGCCCGGCCATTGGTTTTTAAATGCTTATATGTCACTGTTGATTGTTTATTGCTTATTTTTGTTTTTGTGATTTATATGAATTGTATTGATTGTTTTATTTTATGTTTTGTTTATTGATGTATTATGGGCTTGGCCTCATATAAGCCGCACCAAGTCCCTTGGGGAGATGGTAGCGGGGTACAAATAAAGATTATTATTATTATTAGCATCCCTTATGTCCTTGGGAAATATGTGTGTTTCTTTTGGGAAATGGAGTAATGGGCAGGATTGTAACTTTTTTTCTTTCCTGATTATATTTTTAGTATTCAAATGTTATTATATCTGGAAGAACATGCTCGTTTTATAGAATAAGATAAACAATTGTTCCATTAAGCACACAGCAAAAGTAAATGCAAAGTTCTACAGCTTGATTTTGTGCTTTGCTGGTAATTTGGACAGAATCTGTATCATATCTTGTTGGATATAATTTGAGTTTTCCTGTGCTTCAGTCATTATCTTTACAGTTTCAGCTCCCTGAGGTCTCCTGTATAACATGAAACCCAACTAGTAAAGGATCAGAGAGGACATTTGGGAGCAGTTCTGTTAATAGCCCTAGTCAGTCTTCATTCCAAATATTAAACTGGGCTTTGACAGGATTGTCAGTGATACCGGTCATAAAACTCTCTAAGGCCTCTAATGACAAGGTGGTCCCAGACATACACTGCACATAGCATTGCAGTGAAGGACTAGCTTTGTTGGCTTCCAGTGGTCATAATTCACTGTCTGTAATCTGATGCAAAGGACTTGGATGGCAAATTATTTCTTATGTCTCTCTCTCTAAATCTGAGAACCTAGAGACTGAGACAGCTGAGAAGTTCTTTCTTCAGTAAGACTTAATGGATGTTGAAAAGATAGCCCCATCCTTTGAAGTTCAGCAGATAAGGAACAATATCATAGGAGTCAATGTTCCAATAGTATTGGAAAGGACCATAAGAAGTATCTAGTCAAACTTCCTGCCATGAAGTTATATATAATGAAAGCATTTCTGAAAGATACAAATACAACCTCTTGTTAAACACCTCCAAAAATAGTAGTGTCCACCATCCTCTGAGGCCGTATATTTCCAAGTCAAACAGTTCTTACAGCCATCTATTTCTTCAAAATGTTTAAGTGGAATCTCTTTACTTGTAATTTGAATCCATAAGTTGATATTTTAGTCTCTGGAGCATCTTCCACATGAAATCCATTGATATTATGTAATTTCTTGGTCTTCTCAAAGCTAAACATACAACTTCCTTAAGACATTTTTCATAGAATTTTGTTTCCAGACCTTTCATCATCTTGATTGTCCAGAAGTGGTCACAATATTCCAAATGAATATTAATGAAAACAAAATAAATAGGCATGGTTTCCCTATCCCTATCACTTAAACTGAGAAATTATGGGACCTTGACACTTGTGAGCTAGTTCTGGATCCATTAACAACTTCTGGTCACCTTATTGCCCAAAATTTGGCAAATTGACGCCAAATTTGGACACAAGACGACACCTATCATGCCAACAAGTGACCATCACTCATAAAAACACTGAAAAGCACAGCAGAAAGGACTTAAAAAGCCAAAAAGTAAGAAATACATTACAACGCATGTGCAAAACCGTATATATACATACACATATATATATACACACACACACAGAACACATATACACAGACTGGGACACTCCACTGCATGGCAAGGGACAGCTAGTTTTGGAATAAAATTTAGAAGGATGTGAGTTTCTAGCCTAAATGTTTATGAAGTAATGCAAGAGATTAATAGCCTTCACTGTTGGCTGAAATCAAACAGCCCCAAACAGTTTGGAAACTGAGGGGATATTGTGAATCAGTTTGTGATAGGGCATTAGGATCTGGTGTTCAAAAAATGGTGGAAACAAAGGGTGGAGAAATACCCCTATAATTGCTTTGTGTTGCTAAAGTCTTGTTTGTTTGTTTTAATTTCAGGCATTATAAGCATTAAATTTTTGGAGGAAGAAACAGTTCAAAACATTTGAAATAATGAAATTAGTAGTCAAAATATTTTTAAAGCACTAGGAACATTGTCTTAAAAACGGCAATATCTATGCATTGATTATTATAAATTATACATATTTTGCTGAGAATATATCAGTCCCTTTGATGTTAAGGGAAGAGGTTTTACACAGTTTTTACTCTATAGTTCTATTTTTTCGAATATACTTTTGTTATGTGTCCTGTATTTCCTTAATGAAAATGACATTTTATTTTATTTTTAAATGTTGCTCTTTACAGAAAATTGCTAGTCTGGGAAGCTAATTTGATGAGTGCCTGTTTGAGATGCTTATGAAGGGCATCAGTGCAACCTAGTGGAGAACTGAGACACTGGCATTTGCATGTCTGGAATGTTTGTATTGACAAATGAGAAGTGTGTTATTGACATCCGTGTCCCTTGGTGATACTTCTATCCCATCTTACCCTTGCTGGTCAAATGCCTTAATTGTTCTGGCCTTTAATTCAGTCAAAGTTGGAGCACAATTGGAAGAGAGAAGAGAAGGAGCAGGTCTAGCACAGAGTCAAGCTTGAGCTACAAAACTGGTGGCAACGATCAACCTGTCATAATGTTATGATTTGTTCATTTTTATACCATTTATTAGCCTTTACTTGTTGTGCCATTTGGCCTCCAGGGCAGATAAAGTGCTGTCTAATTTGGGAGGTTTGCTTCTGTCAGAGTGGCCTCCACAGAGAAGGTGTTAGCTGCAGTGACAAATAATCAATAGCTGTCCTTGTCACGAGGAACGTGAGTAGTTGGGCCTTTCATCTGGAGGATTAGAGGTCTAATTGGATTGAGAATAGGGAGGGTGGGCTGTTGTATAACCCTGTCAGCTATGTGAAGTTGTCAAATGTCAATGTTATTCATACTGAAAAGGAGGCGGATGGTTGGCTTTCACAGCTTGAGAATGAAGTCATGCAGGAGCTTTTGAAAATATAATACTAGTTGGGAAAATGAAATAGGCTAATATATACTATGACCTGTTTTTGTTGTGATTTTGCATTCATGTAATTAATGAACCTTTTACAACTTGATGCTTTACTCTCTTTTTTTGTATTTAACTTTCCTGACAGCATGTTACCTGTTCTGACTGGTGATTTAAGTCTTGAATAAAAGCAATATAATTATTCGGGCGAGGGTTATTAATTTGAAAAATTCCAATTTAGACAATAGTAAGAAACTATAAAGAAGGAAAGTGTTATGAACCAGAAGCCTTAACAAAGCCAAACACAAGTAAAAGATGCAAACAAAGTTTATTAGCAAACAAAAATAGCGTAGAAACAGTTGAATTCAGTGAGTCTAGCAGCAAAACAAAGTCTATAGCAATTGCTAGGCAAAAAACGCAACTTAAAGAATAATCCAGATTATACAGAGATATAATCCGTTATAACAAAAACCTTCAGCAAACTGCTTGAAAATAACAATTCACAAAGCACAATAAAGCAAGGTGGGAGCAAGCAAAAACAAAGTCAGAAAACAGTCCAGGGTCAAAACATGTCCAAAAGTTGTAGTAGAAGTCCAAAACGCGATGTCGTCGTCAAGAAGCAATCCGAAGTCAGCAGGAGTAGAAGTCAGCACTTACGGGATTCCAGACGGATGAAACAGGAAGCACAACGATCTGTAGTCCCAGGACCCAAGATGACAGTAAAGGCAGCAACGAAGTCCCAAGCCCAAACAACTCTTTGCCTACTGCAAAGTTCCAATAGTTTGATACCTCATTTTTATCCTATAATTCCTCATCAGAGGTGGAGCTGGACTCCACCCTGTTGTCATCGCTCTCAGGTGCTTTCGCTTCCACAGCTGCTCGCCACCACCTATCCCTCCAGCTCTTCCAGCGTCTATCAAGACTTAAATCACCCCATGTATTTCCAGGTTGCCAGTCTCCCGAAAACCCCTCAAACTCCTCGCTTGAGGTGGGTTGAGTACATATGTCCCTGATCTCTTGTACATGGGTCCAATCTAGTCCATCCTCCTCCCCGTCATCACTCCCAGTCCCATCACTCCCTGTAAACCCCATGAAGTCATCCTCCTCAGTTGGAGCACTAAGTATTTCACGGATCCGCTTCCTTTCCTATAGTAATAATAATCTTTATTTGTACCCCGCTACCATCTCCCCAAAGGGACTCGGTGCGGCTTACTTGAGGCCAAGCCCAAAGTACATCAAATAAAACATCAATAAACACAACATCAATAAACAATCAATAAAATACAAATCATTTAAATCACATAAACAAAAAAGTAGAAGTTAGAACAAAACTGAATGCTTCTTGCAGAACATGGCTAGTTCCTGAAAACAATGAGACTGTGCTTCCTCAGCATGGGAAGCCAGGAAGGAGTGACACTGAGCACGCTTTGCTATAATACTATATTTCAGTAGCTGAATGAATCCTGGTATCAGAACACCAGTATCTCTTGATGAGTGACTTACTGGTCCCCTCACATTTCATACATGAATGAAGCTAGCTGTGGGAAGTGAGAGGAACAACAGACTTGCGTCTATGACTAAATAACCTGCTGCCACTACTTT